TATAATTTCTGACGACGTTAACTCGGGAAAATTTAGCAATACGGATGTCGGCGACTCTAGCTGGCGGATACGGGTTTCTCCTTAGTTTCTTCTACGGCAGGGACGGACTCCAATGAAGGCCTCAATCCGGCGATTTGGCTCGGCATTAAGCGCCAAACCTGGATTAAAAAAAAACACACAACACTTGCACTTTTTTTGTTGAAACTAAATCCCTGCACTTGCCGCTTACCCTGGAATTGGATTCAGCGCTGCTTCTTTTCGGCTTCTTTTCCGATTTTTGCTTATGTTTTTTTTTTCCCTTTTCACTTAACACTTTGGTGGCCTGTATATGTAGGTATATGGGATTTTCTTTCGCTTTTATGACCTTAGCTTTGGGACCGCCAAATCGGAAAAGAACTATGGTGACGCCTCGATCTGCTCGGGAACCTCTATAGCTCTCTCTCTGGCGAGTCCAACGTCATCGGCCCTAACTGACAGATGCCTCTGTTACCTCTTTCTCTGCGAAAGCTACACCCCTACTTTCTTCTTCTGCCCCTGCCTTTAATGCGGGGACCGAACTGTAGATGGCGACACCTAATTTTTCCTTTGCCAGCTTTTCTGCCTGCCACAAGCGTTACAAAATACAAGAAATAACAGGAAAAATTATTCATTTTTTAGATAGTTCTAGACATATTTATATTCCCCTTATTAATTAACAGAAAATGGACTACGAAAATTTGTTCAACACCGAGGACCAGAAGGAGCAGAGCCAGGAATTAACGACCCGACATCCGCCTGCTGAGGAGAAAAAACACACTGGTAAGAAATTATACAAGTTGTTTGTAAAATTTGATTTAATCTAACATTTTTTTATTTTTACAGAAATTATGAACTTGTTGGGGCGCCTATTGACAGAGGTTACTGCATTAAGAAGTGAAGTGGCCTCTATTAAGGCAAAGGTGTGCGGGGAGCCTTATAAACCAAAAGCCATTATGCCGCAGACCGCCATTTCAACTCTTGAAGACCTAAAGAGTTTTGAGCGCACCCTCAACAATTCGAACATTTTTTTGAAATTTGTAAGTATAAAACATATAATTAAATATTAAGGAAAATAAAGAGGAAAACTAACAGGATATATAATTCTTTATAAAAATATATTCGGAAATGCTGGCGCGATCTACTGTCTGATGAAGTGGCGCGCCAATACTCCTGGCGTGGGACTGAATCAAAAATGTGCATTCGAGGAATGCTGATAACGTCAGCCGTCAGAGGTATATTTTTCTTATATTTTGTATTAATTATTTAATTATTATAATTTATATATTTACAGCCGCTTTTATGAAGAAATTCCCGTTGGAAGACGCCGACTTCGACAAAGTTACGCAAAAATACATCCAATACGCGCAGGACCGCGTTACAAAGTCATTTAAAAGAACTAGAACTGCTGAATAAATATAATTGATAATATAATTCAAAGAAATAAAAATTTTAAGTTCATAATATATTATCTGAATTTACATTTAAATAAAACAGTTTTTTTTTATATTACAATTGGATATTATTAATGTATTAGAAACGTATGGTCAAAAGACCGCAAGCGGTACTGCTTCGGGTATCGTTGAAGGACTGCAAACGGTCCTTTTTGGGTATCGTCGAGGGGCTGCAGACAGTACTTTTTCCGGTATCGCCACAGGTCCACTAACGGAACTCTTTCGGGTATCGTAAAGGGGGTTTTATCGGTACTTTTTCCGGTCTCGCTACAGCGTCCGCAACCGCAATTTGTTCGTGCTCCGAAAATGAGAGGTTTTCCTGCCACAAACCCCTCGTTCTTGAGCCTAGAATCGGACGTTTTGTCCGCCTGCGGTCCGCAAAACTTTAGTTTTTAATATTTTTTACGAAGTTTCTGTCTGCTGGGATGTTATGCGTATTACGTTGTTTTTTTTTTTTTTTATTAAAAAAGAATATTATATTAAATATTGGCTGATAAGTGCCCGGTATGACACATAGATGACGTCGCTAGTATTGAATGCATATTATTTTTATATAGTACTAACCTTCAAATGATTCGTGTCAAAATTTGACGTCTGTCAGTCATGTAATACATAGAAGGTATAGAGTGGAAGAGTCCGCACCCGCGGGACTGCCGCAAAGCTATACTTCGCGGGGGCAGCTGGCGGTCCTATTGCCGCTCATCGGTCGCCTTCAGTGCGACGGGTCTGCAGCCTCAACAATCGCGGCTGGTGCGATATCAAGTTAGGGGACGTCTCTTCGCGGGTCGTGTCTCGGCTAAAGAAAAGGCTCAAGGGTTGCCACGTAGGTTTTCTTTGAATCTCTGTTTAATCTTAGTCTATTATAATAAGAAATATTTACACTTGGCCTAATTTTAACAATAAGAGTATAAGAAATATGAGATGACTCCGCATTCACGGCACGCAGCTGGGGCAAATTGTGCGCCCCAGAATTTGGGGCGTTACATCTCCTCCCCACTTCGGGGAACGAAAGAAACGGTCCCTCTTCCGCTGGGTCGGAGGGTGATTTGGTAGGACCTCTCCTCGGTCCTAACCCGCAGGCGTTGGCTGCTAGTCGGGCGGTAATCGTCTGCCACACGACGGCGGGAACGTGGCGGTCCGGCCGGTTGTAAGCCCATCCGTCCGGAAGCGGATAGCGCTCGCCTTCGCGCGTGCTGGGCTCCTCTCCCGTCCGCCGCGGTAGTCCTGAGGTGGACTAATGAGTCCGTCGGGGTTCCATTCCTCTGGAACGGCCCAGATCAGCTCCTAGGCCTCGGCTGGTATCTGGTCTAGGAGCTGACCGCTGGTCCCCGGTGACATGGCGGCGCTGAGGGGGCTGGACCTCGGGGTTGCCGCAGGCGGTGTGGCGGCTTCGGGTTGGCGCGGCAGCGACTGGTGCGTGCTTGGGTAGCGGTTGGTAGGGCACCAGTGTCAAGGACGGCTCCTTGCGTCGGAAACGCTGGCCCGTGTTCTCCTCGTAATCGCTCGACTCGGACTCCCACTCCATTGCCTTGCCCGTTGGATGGTGTGGGCGGCTGGAGGAGTCCGAGGTGGTAGAGGTGGCGTCCCGCATCTCGATGTCTTGCGGAGGGTCATCATCCTGGGTCGTCGTTGCGGGCTTCGACGGTGTCGGGGCCAGGTTTCCCGGCACGCCGTAAACGTCACCGGTCCTGGCGTACTCGGGTACAGTGCGGGTATCCGCGCCCAGAATGCACAGGTGCTCTGGGGACGCTGGGAAGGTGACGATCGGGCTTTCGGATGGGCGCCACGGGACCTCGACCTGGATGGTCTCGTAGATCGTGTGGATGAGGTATGCCCACGATCCCCGCTGATACCAGTACCGGTCTTCTCCGGTGTAGCGGTAATGTTGTGCACCTTCCGGTGGGACGCTGTCGTCGTCCTCCCGATCGTCGGCGCCTTCGTCGGCGGAGCTCTCGGAGTAGGTGGGTCGTGGCCCGTTCTTACGTACTCTTTACGCGCTTTCCTTTTTAATGGCCGAATGACACTCTAACGCAGATTTCATTAATTAGCTACTTTATTAGAACCTTGAAAGAGACCACTATATGTGTAATTTTGCTTGGATTATTTTGGTAACACGACTACGGTCACACCCATTTTAAAAGGTAAAGAAAAGCGAAAAAAATGTCGAAAATGGCTTTCACAGAAGATATGACAAATTATTTAATGAAAGTGTGCAGGCTAACGAATTCATTTGGAACCACAAAAGTCCAGCATACAAGGTGCAGAACCTAAAGCTAAACTTTTGGCACCAATTGGCGGAGGAACTAAATTCGAACTTCGATCCAGCAGTTCCGGTCTGTTCAAGTAAGTATATGGTAAAAGTAAATATATATTTAAAACATTTAATTAATTTTTACACATTTAGTTGAAGTTACTAGGAAGTGGAACAATCTCAAGTCGTATTACAATCACGACAGTCAAAGCCTGCGGAAGGCGAAGAAGAGCGGAGCCGACTCGGCCAGTTTGGAGGCAATCGACAACTGGAAGAACAAATCCAAAATGAATTTCTTAAGCGGAATGGATTCTTAAGCAGTCCCTTGCCAAGCGTCAATAAAATCAGCAAGAGAAGCCTTCATGTAAGGTTGGTTTCAATGTACATGCAATGCATATATATACATATACTTTTAAGCCCCATTTTTTGATCTTGTAGATGTTGGACGGGATTTTCCCAGACTCGGAGATCAGCTCTGGTCTAGACTCGTCTAGCCAGCAGCTGAACGATATAGACGGCCCATCTACTAGCCATGCAACTGCTCGGCATGCTTCAAAAAGAAAAAAAATAGTTAACAACAGCGATGGGGATATGGCGAAAGCAATCCTGGAGTCAGCATCCGCTGTAAACAAGAAACCCGAGGTGGACAAGGTGTACTACTTCTCCCAGTACATCGGTCAATGTCTAGGACGACTCGACGCTGACCTTCAGCTACGGGCTAGAAAGGTTATTTCGGAAACTATGCTGGAGGTGGAGACGGAGCAGCTCAACAGAGATTAATGTGAAATAAAAAGAAAACGTTATATTTGAAATGATCTGATTTTCATTTATTTGTTTTTTATGATTGCTGAAATATTTTTTTAATAAGGATCTTATTCTTTCCGCTCTTGCTGTTGTTTTCAAATGTCTGCGATCCACTTCGAAACCTTCAAAACTTGATAATATAATGGCTCCACAATCGGATCCACAATTAGATCTAATTTTTTAAGAACTTCATGAACTGTTCTTGAAAATTGCTTACTAAGATTAATCCTTATTCTAAGCATATGTTTTTTACAAACATTTGAAGAATGAACAATATTAGCTGCCAAAAGGAAAGGCGTTAATTTTGAAAATAATATGAATTGAAAGATTATGAATAAAACATATAAAGCTCTTCAGTGCTATATAGGAAGGCAAACAGGTCCGGGTTCTGTTGGCCACACACGACTCGTCCATGTTGGAAGCATATCTTGGCTGCGATGGTGGCATCGTACGGCGGCTTCTGGTCTCGGCAACAATTACGCTGGTGAGCTGCAGTACTCCGCTCGCTGCATTAGATCCGCAAAGGCATTAGGCTCCAGCTCCCAGGAGGCGTCACGGTTTTGTATCGAGATCCCAAAGAGCGCCACTTTGGCAAACTTCTCCTTGTCGTTGCACAGCGGACACTTGAAGAAGTAGCCCGCCGAATTGGCGTACTTCTGAAGGCACTGGCGATGGTACCAGCCGTTCCGACAGCACGGCGACTGGCCCTTGGTGGCCCTAGGCCACCACCGACTCAAAGCAGATCACGCAATGTCCCTCGGTGCCCAGCCGGATGCGGTACTTGGGTATGTGCTTGTGACAATATGAGTTACGGCGGCCGCTAAACTGGCTAACCGCCAGGTTGTCGTAGCCGCACTTGGTGTGGAAAGTGCGCCGGCACCTCTTGCGGCAGCATCACCACCAATGTTGGCACCCAGGCGTTGGCAGTAGAATCACCTGAGCAGATGGCAGCGCCTCACCTCCATCAAAATGTCCTCCTTGAGGAAGCTCAAAATGCCGGGGTGCTCGTTTCCATTCTGGACAAGATTTGAGCTAAGGTACAAACAGTTGCGGTGCACCACCACCTGGTCCTCCTTGTGCACTTCGCCAAAGACCAGCTCATCATCGTCCTTGCTGCAGCACAGCACACACGGTAGCTCCATGTCGGCCACAGGAAAAAAACAACGCTTAAACAATTAAAAAATTGCGTAAATTGGGATCACTTGGACGCCGCTCTATTGAGCGTCATTCTCGCGCTAATGTTGACTTTGTTTTTATATTATCTTCTCTTATAAAATTATGTAAACAAATGCATGTAATAACAATATGAGCAGCTTCCAGTGGACTTCTGTTCATTGCTTGGAAAAACACTTTGAAACGATTGGCCAGTATTCCGAAAGCGTTCTCAACTACGCGTCTGTTTCTCGACAACATATAATTAAATTTCTGACGACTTTCCAATTGATTTGTGTTGGTATATGTGTGACGGTTTGGTCATTCCGGTGGCTCAAGGATGGCCAGGGTTCGTCTCAGAAATTTATTTGTTGTCTGAGGTGGTTGCTGAAGGAGATGCCGACCCGGTCCCAGAGTAGAACGCCGAGATATATGCCGTAACTATTATTATATGTTTATTGCCTCGAACATTACAACTGTTAAAAAGATTGGTCTGCTGCCGTGGGTAGTCGCTTTGGAACGCCGCACTTCAGGGTCAGGTACATCCTTCCTGCTCGGGTCGACAGTGTCGGTGAAACGCCGATGCGCGGATGCCCCTCAGATCTCCTAGAGTGAGAATAACTGGTGGAGCCCCTCAGGTCTGCCAGTTAGTGGAATAACTGGTTAGCGGAGACCCTGAGATCTTCCAGTTAGCGAGCAGATTTGTGGAGTCGTAGTTTGTAGAGGCTCTAAGGTCTTCTAAGTTTGAGACGTACAGAGAGGCCCTAAGGTCTTCCACTAGTTATAGACGTAAGATATGGTCGGGGTCCGACTATGGGTTACCGCTTACCAATATACCTTACTTAACCGTACTCCTTGGGTGACTCCTTGCTGCTGGCTTCCCCTTAGCTCCTGTTAGAGGACTTGGCCGATCGCTGGCCGAAAACTGCCTGAATGCCTTCCAAGGGCTGAGGCCCGCCTTATATAGCGCTCTGGTGCGGTTGAGTGTGGCTGCCGCACCCGAAGAAATTTGCCATAATAGTGTGGCCAGACCCTCCTCGGGCCAGTGTGACCCTTTGGGCGCGATCATGGCGCGCGCGCTCATTTAATTCAAATCTATTCCATTTTTTCATATTCATAGTTTTCTATTGTATAATCCATTATCATCCTTATTTTATATCTTACGTATATATTTGTGCGCGTCTGGATTCGATAACCCTGCCGGCGAAGAAATGTGCACCTTATCAGCCTCAATGGCATATTTTAGATCCGAGTGCAACCAGACACCAGCATCACCAACTCGCCCATTCGTACCAACGTCAGCATAAATGAACTTGTAGTTTGCATCCACAATGGCCATTAAAATAATGGAGTGATCCCCTTTATAGTTGAAATAGGTTGATCCAGCTGATTTAAGGGCTCTTATTTTGCAGTCCAATGCACTTTCGCATTTAAGTGTCTTGCTTTGAAATTAAAGGCTTCACCATTTCCAAAAGAGTTTCAAACTAGTGTGGGCTCATCCGTAGTACGTGCTTATGCATCCTAGTGTCCTCGTCTAACAGCTCCGGCAGTAATGTATGTGAAAAGCCTAAAATGTATTTTAAACCTTATTTTCTATATAGTTGTATTTAATTTTATTATAAAACGTACCCTCTAGGACTCGCCGCATAAGCCATGCAGCCGAGAACTTTTTTTTTTTTTTTGTTATTTGTGTTTTGCAGCATATTACCTCCATATAAATGTAAAAGACCAGCAAACAACGATAAATGTTGTGGTGTGTCCATTTTAATAATTGAGCTGGCTAATAAATTTTTCAAATTTCAATTGTCTTCATAAACCCGTATTTTGTTATCGAGTATCTAGTATTTTTATGTAGATCTATCGATTATCGCGGCAATGAAGTAGCTAATGCAATTATTCTAATGCATAAGAGCGCCATATAGTCGTCTTGCTCGCACTTGAGTAAAACGCTATAGCGCTGTCAAAGTCTCTAATTAATGCGCCAGTGTCATGCCCGTATAACCGTAAGAGCGCTTTTACATTTGGGGGCAATAAAGCATGATGAGTTGGCGAGCATTGCCTAATTTGTGCGGTAGTGGATGCGGCCATTTTTACATTGTGCATGAAGGTCGATATAGCTTCTTGTAGGTCATCCGGACTATTTATCTGCGTATTTAGATTGATTCTTCCTTCCAAAGTATTTTGCAAATCCTCAATCGATAAACCATACGGAAGTAAGGGCTGACGTTTAGGTTGATGCTCCGAGGACAGGTTAGCTGCTGCTAGCAATAGCCTCTTGTATGTGCCTTCCTCGTGGGCACGTGCTTGTATTACCCCACCATTGGTGCTTTGAATTAAAATCTCCTCCTGCAATAAACTTGTCGCCTAGGTTAGCCAGTGCTTGTTCAAAATCAGTCTTGCTCAAAGGCTGGTTGGGAGGTAAGTATCAGAGAACGGCAAGAGTGCCTCTTTTGACAACTCTATTCACACTCGTCAAAATTTTGGTGCCGGTGCTTCTTACCACCGGCAAATATAGTAAACGAGTCGCACATACATAAACTTGCAAAAGAATAACGAGTGGAATGTCTACCGAGCACCCGATTACGTTTTCATCGATTGTTTTTATGCATTTTATACCCGGTACTTTTCGTTGCTCGGTGCTGGTGGCACTCACACACATAACTAAACGAGCGAGTAGTTGAAGCACACATAAGTAAACGAGCGTGTGGGTAAAGCACACAAAAAATACTCGGGTGTTTTGAAGTCACCCGAGTAGTTTTTGTGTGCTTTACCCACTCGTTCGTTAAGCATTCGGTATTTTTATTTTGTGTCAACGACGATAATCGCACTCTTCTCGCTCTTGTCAACGCACGTGAAAATCGTCTTTAGCGTCACCAAACCAATGTTAGGTGACGCTAGAGACAAAAAAATTGCAAGATGACTAAAACTGCACAAACATTAAAAAACAACATAGATTCGGGAAATTTGAAAAAGAAAATGTAAGGCAGCATTTTTTTTGTATCCACCTGCAGCCCTCATGCAACAGGATGACCTAATTGAAATAAAATTATTCTGTGCTGATCAGATTGAAACATTCAATAGCTCTGTACTAAAAAATACAGATAGTTTTCCGCCCAATGCAGAAAGCTCAAATAGCCCAAACAATTTACTCACAACTCAATCTCAATCACCCGTTTCAAGAACTTTTTTTTCCCGAAGTTAATTGCCACGAAGTTAATTGCACTGGAAGAAATAGACAGATATTGCAAGGAAGGGTACCAATAACCGAACAGTTTAAAGCTATCGACTGGTGGAAAGCTAACGAGTTCAATTACCCTCGGTTGTCGAAGCTTGCCTTTACACTCCATGCGATACCTGCAAGCAGTGCCGCCGCTGAAAGGGTTTTTTCGTTGGAAGGCATATTATTACTGAAAAACGAAATAGACTGTCTCCCAAATCTGTTGACAGTATAATATTTTTGCATTCGTTTTTAAAAAATATGAATATTTCCGAATTTTAAGAACAGAACAAATGAAAACGAAGAAGAAATAAAACAAAAAAATATAATGAAATTATATGAACTAAAATATCAAATTGAAACTGAAAGGGAATGTTGACTGAACTAAGTACCACATGTATGTTATTATTTTTGGTTAATTAAAATAACAAGAAATCAGGAAATGTATACTGTATTTTTAATTTGTTTTTACCAGGTTGCAAAAGGAATCACAAAAATGAACTAGAGCATCTAGTCACCGGGTGTTGTTTTTGGCTGGAGTATTGTGTTCTCGTTTTTACTCACTTCTCTTTCGAGCATTACTCGCTCAACTTCAACAAACACACCGAATCAAAATAAGACTCGCACAAATATACGAGAATTATGGTCGAGTGTTTACTCGCACCCTATTCTCGTTGCCGAAAAAGAACTCGGGTGTTAAAAATACTCGGTGTTTATCCGTTGGTTTGCTGCCGCTCTCTGGTAAGTATAAGGAATAAATACTAATGCATCCACGATTGGTCTGCACACTTGCAGAAGCAGCTTGAATGGACAGGCTTGAGATGGGTGCCTGTTGAGTATGGACGATACTTTTCCGTATAATAATAGCTGAGCCACATTTTGCGGTGTCGCTAGGGTGATTGGCAATGTATTGTTCGTAGCCAGGCAGGTTAACTTTTACCACACCGCTCAATAAGTTCCCGGCTTAAGAAGGAAAAACACTTTTTTTTCTGAAAATTTAGTTTTATTCATCAATGTAGTTTCCACCTACGGCTGCACACTTAGCCAGCGGTTCTCCAACCTTTCGATACCATTTTTGTAGAAGGCTGAACTTTTGCCCTCAGAATAGGCCTCAGTATCGGCATTCACCTCCTCATTTGTTCGATATCTCTTGCCTTGGAGGTGCTTTTTATACCCTTGCAGGGTATTATAATTTCAGTCAGTTTGCAGCGCAGTGAAGGAGACCTTTTCGACCCTATAAAGTATATATATTCTTGATCAGGATCAACAGCCGAGTCGATCTAGCCATGTCCGTCTGTCCGCCCGTCCGTCTGTCCGTCCGTCCGTCCGTCTGTCCGTTTCTACGCAAACTAGTCCCTCAGTTTTAAAGTTATCTGAATGAAACTTTGCATATAGTCTTCTATATACTCTCACTGCTGTATATGTCGGAATGGGCTGGATCGGACGACTATATCATATAGCTGCCATACAAAAGTTCGATCAATTTTTAGAAAAAAAATTTAAACTTGGCTGTTTTTCAATATTATTCCATCATTTTTGAGATATAACCATTTTATATTATTCCAGAATTTTGGTAAACATTTTATGAAAATCGGACGACTATATCTTATAGCTGCCATAGGAACGATAGGGAAAATAATAGAAAAAAATTATAACTTCGTTGTTTTTCAACTAGAGAAAATGTAAAGCCGTGAATGTATAACTGTAACTGTCAAACTGTAAACATAATAAGTAAAGGTAAAACTCTTTTTTTTGTGTGTTTTCATCATTATA